ATGGGAAAGCACGCAGAAAGCACGCAGGCGTTGATCCTGATTCTTCCGAATGGTATTGCTTTCATTGCTGGCAGGCGGGTCGTACAAATTGGTCGGGCTCATTTTTCTTGCTATCTGATCCTTTCCTTTGCGTTTGGGAGTAAAAGTTTGACAGGCTTGGCTGCAAACTGATTCGCTTGGAGCTAGTGCAAAATGGCGGCGGGAGCAAGCAGTGCTGTTTGAACATCTTACACGTTTGCTTGTTCAAGAATTTTGTTGGAGACTCTAGCAGGGCTCAAGTTCTTATCCAAGCACCGTTGGACACCTTTCAAAGCAGCTGACCGCCTTCCGAAGCCAAGGGGGCAATCTATCGAGACCCTGGGCCATCATCGCTTTTTCCCAAAAGCATCTCCGATGCCTGGGTTCTCGTTTAGCTTACTTTGCCGCAGGGGGAGCGAGATGGAAGCGGCGACGTCATGAACGGAAAGGAAACCTTGGGCAATATAAGCTTGAGGAGAGCTCTGTTGGGAGGGAGCGAGACGGAAGCGTTGACATCGCGGACAGACAGGTTGCGGAGAGCTCCATTGGGAGGGAGCGCTGAGAATGTAGAGTGTCAGCACGGGTTTTCAGGACAAATTCCATCAAAGCGATTGTCTCAAAAACTGCACACCCAAAACTGTTCAAGTGGTTTGCAAACGTTGGGCGATGGGATGCGCATAGCTTCGTTGGCAGGGAGCAACACTAAAAAGGGCACTGTTGGCGCGGGTTTTTCAGGACAAATTTCGTCAATATGATTGTTCCGAAAAACTGTGCGCCCAAGACTTGTGAGAGTTTCCAACCTTGGCCATGGGACATGCATAGCTCCGTTGGCAGGGAGTGAAACTAAAACAGTAGAGCTGTAGGCACGTTTTTTTGGGTCAAATTTCATCAATACGATTGCTCCGAAAAACTGTGCGCCCAAGACTTGTCAAACTTTCTCAAACTTTCCAAACCTTGGGCCATGGGACATGCATAGCTTTGTTGGCAGGGAGCGAGACCAAAAGAGCAGAGCTGTTGGCGCGGGTTTTTCGGGAGAAATTCCATCAACGCGATTGTCCCGGAAAATTAACAGTTTTCAAAAGCTGGGTGATGGGACATGAATAACTTCGTTGGCAGGGAGCGAGACTAAAAGAGCAGATCTGTTGGCACGGTTTTTTCAGCACAAATTCCATCAACGCGATTGTCCCGGAAAATAAATGGTTTTCAAGCGCTGGGCGATGGGACATGCATAACTTCGCTGGCAGGGAGCGAGACTAAAAGAGCAGAGCTGTTGGCACGGTTTTTTTCCGGGAGAAATTCCATCAATAAGATTGTACCGAAAAACCGTGCGCCCAAGGCTTGTCAAAGTTTCCAAACCCTGGGCCATGGGACATGCACGGGCAAAAGTTCGTTGGTGGAGGGGTCTGCTGATTTTACAGCGCATTCTGTCCGTCGATGCTTTGTCTTCCCTCCACATAACCCACAACCACTTCCCAATATCAAAATCATGATTAGTTACTAGACGAGCGTGAACGGACAGGTGGGGAAACCATATTGGGGAGAGCTCTGCTGTTGGCACGGGTTTTACACAGAGCAGCTTTACACAGAGGAGCTTTACACAGAGGAGCTTTTGCACAGAGAAGCTTGTACACAGGGAGGGCTTTACACACAGAAGCTTTTACACGGAGAAACCTTTACACGGGAAAACTTTTACACACTGCTTTTACTTTTACGCCGAGAAGTCTTGCGCAGAGGAGCTCTTACAATCTTTTACGCACAGACTCGTTTACACAGAGCAGTCTTTACACAGAGGAACTTTTACAAACAGAAGCTTTTACACAGACGCGTTTACACACAGAAGGCTTTACGCAGAGAAGTCTTTACACAGAGAATTTTCATGAATTTTTGACGCAGAGGAATTTGCACACACAAAGGTTTTTGCGCAGAGAAACCTTTTACACAGAGCAGTTTTTACACAGAGGAGCTGAAACTTTTGCACAAGGATTTTTCCCACACGGAAACTTTCAAACACAGAAACTTTTGCACAAAAAACGCTTTACACAGAGGAACTTCTACACACAGAAACTGGCACAAAAAAAAATACACAGAGTATTTTTTACACAAAATCTTTTACACAGACAGTCTCTTACACACAGAAGTTTTTACAAGAAAAACCCTTACACAGAAGTTTTTACACACAGACGCGTTTAAACAGAGGAGTCTTTACACACGGACGCTTTCACACACACACAGAAGTTTTTATACAGAGAAGTCTTTGCACATTTTTTATCATGTCTCATTTTTCACTATCATTCTTCATTTGTCATCATTCATATTTTAGTTTTCATGCGCTTTTGGTCAACTCCCTCCTGCTGCCTATAGGAATGCAGACGTAGCTGACGCAGCATGCTCTGGTGAATTGCGGCCCTTGACACCATCAGTGCGCACGATGTCTCAATCAAGATCTTGCGTCGATTTCGCGCAGAGAGGAGCTGCCCACACCACAAATCACCACAAAAATTTTAAAAAAAGGCGTGCTGTGCGCCGTCTTGCTTTTGGGTTGTCTGGCCCACCTTGTTTTCAGGCTCAAGGAGAGCCAGATGCTCTAGTTGATAAAGCATGAAGGGGCTGTTGGGCAAAGGGCAGATTGCATCATAGATCGAACACTGCGCATTTTGTAGATGGATGAGATGGCTACCTTGGCTACCCTACTTGGAAAATGTTTGAAACCTTAAACCATCTTGAATCCAGATCACTAAGTAATCACCTATTCACTTCGACTCTGTCAAATCGGGGATTTTCCCGACTCTGGGCTCCGTAACCCAATGTGGGGAAGCGACGTCATGAGAGAACGAAGCTTTCAGGCCCTGCGCAACTCAGAGACAGTCACCAAAAGCAGCATGATTTGACAGGAGGACACATCAGAGGACACCGTTGTGATTTGATGTGATTTGTTAGATTTCATGAGCATTATGTCACGTGACAAGGCAGAGAGGGTTCCCAATGGTTCCCAGAAATGTTGGGTAACATCCGCTTTGGGATAGCATGCTTCTTGGAGGCAGAATCACAACAGCCAACGCGGCCTGCATCATTCAGGCCTGGAAGTCAAAGATCATGCAACACGTTTTGCTCTTGTGGTTGTTGTGGGGGTCGCTATAGGTTTCCACTGTGTGTGTGTGTGTCTCTCTGTCTGTTTGTCTGTCTGCCCGCACGAGAACGTTTATGTAATGACAGCGTAATGCCTCTTTTCCTTCCGTCCCAATCAACACCACGTTCACTTTAGAAGAAACCCGGCCTTCACAGATCGAGAGACCCGGTCCACCGTGCACCCCTGTTATTTGTGGTTTACCTTCTTTGTGAGCATCCTGTGCAAAGATCTTGGAGTTCGAATCTTTAGTGTGGTGAAATGTCGGATTTCTGCCGTTTTCTCGTGCGAATTTTTGCTCGCATGTTCTTAGCCACAATTACCTGTGAAATTCTATAAGCAAGAGAATGATGCTGCTAGCATGAGGAGTCAAGAACTTTATTCTTGGAGGGTTCTTCCGGCAAACACATCCATCTGCAGGCTCCGCATTCTATTGTAGCCCAGCCATTTAGCCAGACTTGATGGGATTGGGAAAAAGAGCGGTGTCTTGGTCCATGCCGGCCCAATCTCGCCATTGATGGTGCATTACATTTGTTTGCGAGTGCTGGTGTACGGTGCATATGATCCTGACAGCAGCTGTAGGAACTTGTGCGTGGCTCAGCCGGCATCTCATTTTTGTGAAATCTAAACCGAGAATGCGATGCAGTGTATTGGACTTTTGAAGGCGCGATTCAGGTTGTGTGCCATTCGGCATCAATCCGAAGTCCAAGCGTCGGCCATTGTTATCATAGTTGGTATATGTTGGCAGTCCTCCTGGTATATCTTAGCCAAACATCCTGAGCAGAGTTTTGAAACCGAGATGTCATGATGTGTCTACTTTTCTTCCTTCGTCTGTTGCAGCTGCATAATCTTCAGACAGTCCGTCTAGACACATCATTATTTATTACATCGTTGGACGCCCCGTTATTTCAGGCGTGTTTGTATGTTTTTGCTCACAATGTAAGGTGCCCCATGATGCCAGATGCAACAGACAGGTACAGATACGAAAGGTCCAAGTTATGTTCCGTACTCGCGGGAATCAACCATTTTCTTCTTTGAGTATCCCGGTCCACATGTCATGCAGCCGAAAGTGGAGACTGAAGTCCAAGTCTTATATCAGTTTTTTGGGGATTCTTGCCTTTCTTATATGATGTGTTCTTGTCATGTTGCGTCGCTACCGCTAAACGAATCAGTGTTGCCTTCTATGATGTCTATTCTTGTAGAAGTTGCAGCCCCTCACTTTTGACAGCTATGAAGCTAGTGCGGGCCTATCAGATGAAACGAAGCTGTCCGAAGCTTAGCTCCTCAGTGAACTTCAGGTTGATGCCAAGAGCCACATTGGCGGGCTCCTTCAACACATAGCCGGATTTCTTTGATTTTTTCTCGGTAAAACACGGGTCCTTTGAATGTGGTGTCCCAGTGTTTTCAGATGTTGCGAGATCTGGTGCCTCATCTCTTGCAACGGCAGCATTTATCTCTTCCCACGTTCCCAGCTTTGCGCGTGACGCCAGCGAATGAAACCCTTCTCTGTGTCCATCCATGGGGATTTCTGTGGGTGCGGGCTGATCGAATGTGTTCTTGCCGTGACTAGAGGTTGGATGCCTCACTGCAGTTTCATTTGTAAAGCTGAACTTGTGCGCAAACTTGCTGGCAGTGAGTCGAACCAATGGGTGATTAAAATTTGGTGCCCAGCAAAATCATCCAAAAATAGACGAAACAGTCATTTGTAGGAACCAAATTTGTCCAATTTTAGAATAAATTTAAGAAACACCCAAGTAGATCGACGCTGCGGATCTTGATGCCATGCAGCACTCGAACTTTGCAGGGCACAACATGGCACAACCGAAAATCACACTTTGGCTCAGGTGCAAGTGCAAAAGTTACACAACCACTTTTGCAAAAAAATCGTTGCCTCGTTGGTCCGGGAAGCCATGGAAACCATGTCCCTTTTCGGCCTGTTTTGCTTAGCACTGGCTCTGGCAGCGCACTACTTTGGGTGCATGTTGGGAAAACGCTCAAAGAGTGGCGCCAGCTTGGTGATTGCTACAACCTGTGTGTGGTCTCTCTCGATCATCCGTCCCTTACCGCATTTTGTCGTCCTTGGAATTGCAGGTGTAGCAGCAGCTTCCTTGCCTGCTGCATTGCAAAGTCCTTTTCAGAAAACCAAGAGCACCACCATGTCGGCCACAGCTTTGCTGTGGAAACTAGTGTGTGCCATGCTGAAACGGGGGGAGCTCGGCCAGGTGATGATTTGTTTGGTGTGGGGCATGCATTGTTTCGTCACACACGTGCTGCTGGAGTTGGAGGATCTCGTGCTGGACCTATGGCCATGGCTTTGGCGGGGAGAGGATGTGGTGGTGATTTTGGGTCATCCCCGAAGTGCTTCCACGCATGTGCATCATATGCTGAGCCAGACTTTGCCAGAGAGTGCTTCGTTGACCTTTTATGATGTCCTTTTCCCATCACTTATCCAATGGTTTTGCATGCAGCCATTCAAGCCTTTGGCCAACATGTTCCTAAGCCTTCTCGACTCGCCTCAGCACCGGATTGCTGTCGATGAAGTGGCAGAGGAGCAGCAATGGTTGCTGTTGAAGTTCAAGGACATTTTGTTGCCGATGCTCTTCCCAGCTATGGTGGATGACCCTGATCTCTTCCGTGCATCCTGCGACTACACAGAAGCAGATATGATGTTCATCAAGGGCTGCATGAGACGATTGTTGATCCGCAAGCCAGAGATTCGGATTTGCTGCGGGTGATATTTTTTTTTCAATTGATTAACCCACAATTTGGGAGATATCATCAAAATTCATCAAATATATTGAAATGTGTTTTTTCTATTGACCTTGAGCTGACAAGCAAGACGACGGAGAGCAAGCTCTACATCGCTCGCATGCTCACCTTCTGACCATGGCCGCAGTACATCACCGCGGCCTTTCCAGATGCCAAGTTCATCGTGTGCTTGCGCAGTGCGGAGGACTGTTTGCGCTCCTTTGTCAGCCTGGCAGCGGTGCACTCAGGCGGCAACCCTCACACGCCACTGTGCAAGAAATGGGCTCAGAATTGCGCTGACACCTTGACAAAAGGCACTGTTCAAGGTTTGCAGCAACTTGTGAACGGCAATGTGCCAGATGCAGGAGTAGTGATGCAAGTGAGCTTCCGCAGCTGGAAAGCGAAAACCCGCAGTTCTTTGATTTCTCTCCTGAAGGAGTTAGGACTGCAGGGTGAGCTGAAATCTGAGGGAGGACAGGAAGTGAAAGTTGATCGACGTGGGAAACATGAAAGCAATCCAGACGTGACGGATTGCCTCGAGGGAGTGACGATAGCCAGAAGCGCTATTGATGACATGAACTTGATGATGGCCAAAATGGCTTGAGTTCTTGTGGCTTAATCCCAGGTTGCAACCCGACGTAGGCAGGGTATGACTGCTTTGCTGAAGCGTCGAGCTTTGTCTCCAGCAGTTGGATCATGGCGCGGTTGTATAGCGGGGTTTTCTTCGTGACAGCCTGACAACCAAACAGCCAGACGAGCAATGCCCATAGGGTTTAAGGGTGCCAGCGGCCAGCGCAAGTATGATAAGATGATTAAGATGTGGTTTTGCTTGGAAAAGGGGAAGCAGGCTGTCACGGCGTTGCAAATGTAAAGGCCTTGACCCCGGCAGAGATCCGCAAGCGATGGCCATCTGGCATTTTTTCAGCAAAGATTTTGTGGCTGCCCATGGCTGTATAATGCCGGGAGCTGACCTGTTCATACCCGTTCGACAACATGGATAATTCAGAAAATGGTGCGTCAGGACGTCACGACATCAGTCACAGGACGGTTTGCGCTTGATTTTTTTCTGCCAATGCTGCAGAATTCGTTGCCAACCACACCTAAAGTATCCTAAAGTGACTCCTTGGCTCAACAGCACCTAGGATAACAGGCGCATCATACGTGAGACGCAATGGCTGAAAAGTTGCCGCAAACGCGGGTTGCTTTCGCCTGTTTGGTCGATGCAACTCATTTCTACACCGTTTGCTCTTTGTTCAGTGACTCGGCTGACCATCCTGAGATCCCTCGAGAAGC